CTTTGACTGTTATTACTTTGTACTTCTGTAATGTTTAATGGTTCCATTCCTGAGGCCTTGTCTGATGAAGTACCAGATACCACCTTGGGTTCAGTTATTTGTATATATGTCTTATGAACTTAAAAATTGTATATTATTCTCTTTAAGTCTCAAAAAACCAAGCCAAACTTTATACATGATTAGCACCCAATAAACATTGATAAATGTTCAGTGAGCTAATTGAAGAATCACCAATAATTAAATCATTGAACTTCATCCTAAATGTAGCCCTAAACTATAGTGTTTTTACAAAGTTTTCCACTGAAGAAGCATTAATGGAGCACTGACGGTACTAATGTTAGAAAAACATGCAAAAAAGATGAAAGCTATCGTCCAGCCCTTGCTATGTGCTCAGTGTCAGAGATCTCATTTGCCTGAAGTCAACAATGCACACTGTTAAAACAGGTTTCTCTTAGATACCAGATGGGGTATAATTCTTAGAGCTTGGAGGATTAGGATTGAGACTGGAATGGGAACTCAACACTTTGTATTCAGAGCAGTGCTGATGTTTTTTTTTAATCAAAAGACCTCTTTCTGTCATTAAGTAAATAGATACCTTCATTTGGATTTTGTATCCAGGATGAAAATAGTATCGTTTACATAGCAGAACCTGTTTTTGGAGCACTTATTGGGACATTACTGTTTGACCTCTTTGTATTTTTTCCTTTGCATTTTGTCATTTGTAATGTGAAGAACTTGGCTGCGTCTATTACAGATTTGTCAGAATTAGTCTATTTGAGCGTTTAGTAAATGGGCCATAGGACCATTTTCTGGTCTTGCTGTTTATTTTTTACTTGCTTAATTCTGATCAGCTTCAGAGATATTTGCCTGGTTAATCAGTTTCATTTATATTCTTTTTCCCACCTCCCTTTTGCGTTTGTGGTCATTTACTAACAGCATTGCTACCAATGTGTGCTGTGAAGAACATGCATGGAAACTGTCCATAGTTACTCATTTTAATCTACTTTTCCTTCCACAGACTGCATGCTAGCATCTTGCTAAATATTGTATTATCTGATTTTCTGCATTTAATATATATTATGTGAATTTGTTTGGTTTCAGTATGTTTCAGTGGGATTCTTTTGACCTCCATGTGTATTTCCTTATGTTGTGTTCTTATCTGTCCTTATGTCAGCTTGTTTCTTTATATATGTCCAATTATATAGCAAAATATCCAAAATGTGGCACTAGTAGATATTATTCTCTAATTATTTATTCATTTTTTTATCATATCTTCCTAAATGTATCAAAGCAATCTTGTCAATGGAATTACCTAAACACTGACTCTCGGCAAGCGTCACAGTTACATGGGCAACCTGGAATTGCCTCAGCTCTGTAGTTAAATATTTTTGATTAGGTGCCAAAAGAGTTCTCAAAATACTAGTGGTTGAGCTTCCACATTTAATATTAGGTTACATTCTTTGCTTCATTCTTTTTAATTCAGGTAACATTTGTTGAGCATTTATTATGTCAAGTATTTCTCACTGCTCGTAGTCCACGTTTTAGAAGTAGTTTCTTGCAATCTTTGTTTCTTAAGTATTTTGAGTGGTTTTTTAATGCCTGACTACTCAAACTGCTGTTACTGGGCCAGCAACATCAGTAACATCTGTGATTTTGTTAGAAATGCAGAATCTCAGGCCCATTCCAGAACTGCTGAATCAGAATCAGTGTTATAATAAACTTGCTAGATGATTTTTTAGCACACTAAACTTTAACAAGTAGTGTAACATATGTCTTGTTAACCATCTGTGGTTTATTTTTTAACAATTGATTACTTGTTCACACTCAATTACTTTATTAGAGATAAGAAACCTTTTCATGAGAAAGTAATTATAGCTTTAAAACTATTTTTTAAGAGATTTATTTATTTATGCATACAAGAGCTGGGGTACAGGCCAGAGATGCAGGGGGTGAGAGGATTCACCAGAGACAGAGTGGGGAACAGAACAGGCAGACTGACTGAAATACACTGCTGAGGAGAGCAGTGGGCGAGACAGGAGAGGTTTGCTGCGCCCTATGGGTTGCTCCCTGACAGGCCGGGGATCAAACTCGTGCTGTAGAGGCTGCGGGTTGCTTCATAGTGCAGTGCTTAACCTCTTGCGCCTCCAGGGAGGCCCAGCTTTAAAACTATTTTAAGAAATGTAAAACACAAAACTATTTATTTACTAAAAGATTCATACAATTCTGTTCAAAACGAAGTTTAAGTAATTTTTGTGTCTGTTAAAACTTGCAAAAATGTTTGTTTTTAAAATCTTTTTGTGAGACCTTGCTGTGAAGTCTGTTGTGTGGGAAAATATTAATAGAGTGGTTTTTATTTCTTTACAGTGATATTTGAAATACATGGCAAATAGTGTGAAATCCTCAACATGTCCTTTATTATTGCAAAGGAAGTATAAAGTTAACTTGTGCTCTCAAATCATTCAATCTTTTAGAATAATTAGTGGTTTGATACCTAGATTTTTTTTTCTTTTCTGGATCAAGTTCCATTACTTAAAGAAAAAAGAAATTTGGAAAAATTAGTTGCTACTCCTAATGTAAAGAGTAATTGCAGATAATTTTATTTCCTTTACATAAGTACTATGTGCCTCATTCAGGGGTAACAAATTAAGAATGTATATTTGTTGGTAAATATTTTAAGCAGTATTTATAAAGACCGAATTGCCTACTTTACTAGCACAGGGTAATTTTGATGACTTAGTACACAAGACTAGAATATGGCCTATAAATATTTTTATTGTTTGAAATATTATTAATGTTTAAAATGAATAGTCCAGCAATAAGGCCACATAAAGCCTTTTCCTTTCATTCACATACCTTTATTTATTTCAATACCACTTACAGTGATTTGCTGCTCCAAGTACTATGATGTTAGGCAAGTTACTCCTGAGTGTCTACTTCCTCAATTATCAAGCTAGGTGATTCCTCTTCCTTTGTGAAAATTGAGATAGATAACCCCCTGTCATGGGGCCTGTCACAAAAATAGTACTCAGGACATATCAGCTTCCTTCCCTTTTCACTGCTTTATTCCATTTATATACAATCCTTTAAATTTGGCTCATATTGTAAATAAGATTTCTTGAATTTTTCTTTCATTATATAGGTTAAAGTTGAATCAAGAATATGAACTCCAGGATTGCATAAACCTTTGTTACTTTTATATCCCTAGCACCAGGCTAGGTGCTTGACAAGTGTTTATTGAATGAATGAATGAATGAATGTCATGCATTTCAAGTAAATTTGAATAAATTCAGAGACAGCCTTTTCTGTTTATCAGGAATATTCAGTTGACATTAACTCACACACAAAACTTATATTTTAGCTGGGGTGGAGGGAGGGAAAGAAAGAGAAGGGCGATAAAACCCTTCTTATCAAATAACAGGATAATTGTAGGTAGTAGTGAGTGTTGTAGTGCTGTGAGGCCATCTGGAGTAGAAAGGGCCACTGCTTTAGATAGGATGTGTGTGAGAGCTTCTCTGAGGAGGCAATGTCTAACCTGGGACGGTACCGATGAAAAGGGATCCAACCTACAAATAGTCAGGAGAGGAATTGTATAGGTAGAGAGAACAGCCGGTGCAAAGGCCTGAGGAGGGAATGAGCTAAATTTAATTCATTAATTCAGATTGTTAATATCCAACTAAAATTACTTCATCTAAATAGTATGGGGCAGGGCATCCCCGGTGGCACAGCGGTTGAGTGCTGGGTTGCCAAGCTGCCCGCACCCTCTGTAGCATTGGTTCGATCCCGGCCACCAGGCGAGGGTCTCACATGGTGCGCAGACATCTCCTGCCACCTGCTGCTTCCCTCAGGAGTGTACTTCATCATTCTGCCTGCTCTGTTCTCCCCTCTGGCTCTGGTGAATTCTCTCACCCTCCCGCGCTTCTGAGTGTACCCAGTGCTTGTATAAATAAATAAATAAACCTTTTAAAATAAATAAATAAATAAATAGTATGGGGCAGTGTTATAAATACTGTCTTTTGAGTGGAGTATTTTCATGTATAGCAGTAAAACAAAGTGTAAGATTATCAATAATCAGCTGTATTGCCTCATGTCACCAAAGTTCCTCTGTGTATTGGTTATTCTTTAGTAAATTGGTGACAATACTCTCTAGTTATTATTGTGAGACTTGACTAATAATACTGGAATTTTGAGATCATGAGGATAGAATCCAACAAGTTTGAAATTTGTAAGGTCTGCAGCCATTCTTTCCCCCCATAATTGAATTTACTTTCTAAACTTTTCTTCTCTATTATTTCTCCATTTTAATTGTTTCACGCTCTACTCTTAAAAATGCTGAGCATGAAGGAAAAACATTCTTAAAAGAATTTAAAATGGGATATTTCTGAAAGAGGCTATAATTTAGTATTGAAACATGAAAACCTAAGTAGTTTTTTTTTATTGTGAACATATACTGCAATTGCTGTTATTATGTCTGATAACAATCAGAAGTCTACATCTGCTGTTCTTAATAGCAAAGCCCATGATTCTAAGAAATATAAAGAAAAAAATAATAAACAGTTGGAGAACCTTTTTATTTAATCATCTCTGGGGATCCACAAAATCGTGTAATATTATTCTTACAAACCCTTCACCTTCATATTGATACCCAAATAGGACAGTACACAAATACATCCTTTCTTAGGGAGGATAAAACTATTTGTTGCACAGTTTTGAACATGAAATTGAAAGCATGATGCATTTCACTAGAGTGGTCTCATTGGGTGCTCTTTTAAGCTGATTTTTCTGTGTGATTATATTTAGTGAAGCAAGGCATTAATTACTCAGAATGTATAAGTAAGGTATTTTTGTGTTTTATGGAAAATATCATGTTTAAGCACTTGAGTGCTGTCTGTTGGTGATTAAATACCTAAATATATTAATTTTGGCACACTTGACCTGATTTAGGATTTTGTCTGCCATGTGTGTTTTTCTTCTAAGAGCCCCCCTTTTTATCTTTTTAATAGCAACACCATGACAACAGAGAAGAGTTTAGTGGCTGAGGCTGAAAATTCACCACACCAACAACAGAAGGAAGAGGGTGAGGGAGCCACAAACACAGGCCAACAAGAAACTCAGCTGGGAGAGGCTTCTCAAGTGGCAGCTGAGGGAGATAATCATTGTGAGCAGAAGCTAAAAGCATCTAATGGAGATACTCCTACACATGAAGACTTGATCAAAAACAAGGAGCGGACATCAGAAAACAGGGGCCTGTCACGGCTGTTCTCCTCATTTCTCAAAAGGCCTAAATCTCAAGTGTCTGAGGAAGAAGGCAAAGAAGTAGAGTCAGCTAAAGAGAAAGGTGAAGGAGATCAGAAAGTGATTGACTTTGGAACCAGTCTTGATGAGGAGATCATTTTAAAGGCCCCAATTGCCGCTCCTGAACCTGAACTCAAGACTGACCCATCTTTGGATCTCCATTCGTTAAGCAGTGCAGAGACACAGGTGAGGATGTACAGATGTGTGGGAGGTGGGCTCAAGGGAGGTTATACACTTTGTCTCTTAAGAACAATTTCTTACTAGCCACTTGACATGGGTATTGATAGTTTGTGAGTAACATTCTGCTTTAAAGATATTGATGTAGTCAATGGAATCTTGGTTTTTTTTAAAAAAGGATTTATTTATTTATGCATGCAAAAACTGGGGTCCAGGCCAGAGGTGCCAGGGGGTGAGAGGATTCACCAGAGCCAGAGTGGGGAGCAGAACAGGCAGATCTACTGAAATACACTGCTGAGGGGAGCAGTGGGAAAGACAGGAGAAGTCTGCTGCACTATGTGGGTAGCTCCCTGAAAAGCCGGGGATCGAACTTGTGCTGCCCTTGACCCCTTGCACCAACAGGGAGGCCCAGAAGGTACTTACACTGTATAAATCAAATAAAACAGTTTATCAACCTGTATATCAATTTGCTCTAATAATGGAACAGTTCCAAGGTTTTTGATGAGAGGGGAGAAAAGCAGTGAGGTGGTTTAGAGTTCATTTTGGTGGAATTATTAGGAATGGGAGAGTTGCTGATTTATTCATCTGTCAAAATAAAAAGGGAAAATATTACTATGCCTCAAAAGTATTTTCTAGAAATCCCATTTGTTTTCAGCCTTGGTATCCTCAAATTAAGAGTATCTTTAAAGTATTTATGAAGCATATTAGCATTGTCTGCATTGTTACAAGTTTTATGTATTAGTATTAGGTCTCAGGTTTAGGTTGAATAATTTTATTGGAATTTTTTTTTTAAGTATTACAGATATTTCTAGAAATATATTAAACATGATAAGAGTAAAATTTAAGATACAGTTGTAATTATGCAGTTGCTATTAGTGAAGCAAGGCTGAAAACAAGATTTACTACATATTGTAATAATTAAGAGGGAGGCTCAGGCATCAGACTAGAGGATTTAATTTACAGAACTGACACTTTTGCTTTATCAGTTTCCTTCTCTGTACAATGAGGAGATGAATATCCACCTCATTTGGGGATTATAAAAATTAAGAGATAAACTTGAAGCTTTTAAGCTTTATATGTTAGGCATATATTAGGGCATATATAAATTTTATTTATTTTAGGAATACCAAAGGAGTTAAACGGCATTGTCTTTCAGGAAGAGGTTTTTAACTGCTTTTTCCCTCATTTGCTTAATGTAGGAAAAAAAATCTTTGTCTTATTTTTAGTTCACATTTTAATCAGTGCTTATTGAATTTGAAGATTATAGCATTTGTACTGAAATTGAAATAGAAGATTGACAAAGTTAATTCTAGATTTAGCTAAAATTGCATTCACTGAGATTATGAATGTAATTGATATAAATTATATGCAGGTGTTTATCTAAACATGAAGAAAAAGAAAAATTACTGCTGTTAATAAAATTTCAAGGAAGCATTGTTTAAAGGTGTGAACTACTTTTAGTCCTTTTGGAAGCTAGTGTTTACAATTAAACACTTGTGGATGAAGATTTATTTGCTACCACTCTGTATGAGTAGTAGAATTTTATTTGAATGGCCTTTCCCTAGCTAGGATTTTTTTTTTTAAAGATTTATTTATTTATTTATACAAGCACTGGGTACAGTCAGAAGTGCGGGAGGGTGAGAGAATTCACCAGAGTCAGAGCGGAGAGCAGAGCAGGCAGACTTGACGAAGTACACTGCTAAGGGGAGCAGCGGGCAGCAGGAGAGGTCTGCGCGCCATGCGGGACCCTCACCTGGCTGCTGGGGATCAAACCGGAGCTGCAGAGGCTTCGGGCAGCTTCACAACCCAGTGCTTAACCGCTTCGCCACTGGGGAGGCCCTCTAGGATTTTTTTTTTAAGTGAATTTGCACTTACAGGATTGTACCAGTCTTTACCTAGGGTACGTTGGATATTTTGGAAGCAACATGTCAGTTTTTAATGTTCATTCATTTATTCAACAAATATTTTTTGAAAATATTCTGTGTTTGCCAGGTCCTAAGTTGGCATAGAGTAGGGGTAGGATAGACAGGATAGTTGATGAAGTCTTCTCTGGGATGGGGAGGACCCTTTTGGAATACCTTCAGTAGCTAATGTAGGACCCAAATAATTAATTTCTTTTTCCTAAATGCCAGCTATGTATTCTTTTGAGAGAAAAGACTTAGTAAGGCTTAGTTGAGAATCTTTCAGCAGCTTTATCATGTTAGAAGTAAGAAAGAATATACATAAATGTTGTCCTACTTACCTAATGATTGCCCCCAAGAGACCACGATTTCATTCTCTCTCTTGCCTCTTTACAATTAACATGATTGATGCTTGGCAAAAAGGAGTTAGCTGGTAGTTATAGACTTCCCCTACCACATACATTGCTTTATACCTTAAAATAGGTGCTAAAAATCCCTCTTATTTATTCATAAAATTTAGAATATGTGACAAATCACATCTCATTTTGTAATTCATAGACTACCTTGCTAAAATTGAGGAGCATGGGGTAGAGATGGTAAAGTTTTTATTGGTTTTAGTAATATGTAGTGACATACTCAGGAAGAATATATACTGCTGAGGGCAATTAGTTGGTGCCTGAAGCTATCATTTCTTTTTTTTTTTTTTAAGATTTATTTATTTATGCATACAGGCCAGAGGTGTGGGGAGTAAGAGGATTCACCAGAGACAGAGTGGGGAACAGAACAGGAAGATCGACTGAAATACGCTGCTGAGGGGAGCAGTGGGCGAGTCAGGAGAGGTCTGCTGTGCCATGTGGGTAGCTCCCTGGCTGGGGATTGAACTCGTGCTGCAGTGGCTGTGGACAGCTTTCATAGGTTGTGTCTTAACCCCTTGTGCCACCAGGGAGGCCCGCCATCATTTCTTGATTTGAGGGTTGGGATTCTATCTGAAGATGGGATTTTACCTTCTAGTACAAGGTTCTGGAAATAGCAGTCTGCAAATGTTTGGGGGATTATAATATCTTTTACAGGAACCTAATTATTTCACCTTAATGAAATTTATATTGCTTTAACAGTTTTTTCCTTCAGTGGGTGCTTTTTATTGGTAGCATTGTTATAGGTTAAAGAATATATGTACAGGATGTTCTGTGAAATACCTGTTACTAACTTGATGTCGTGGCTTTGTAGCCTGCTCAGGAAGAACACAGAGAAGATACAGATTTTGAAACTAAGGAAGGAGGAGTTGAAGATTGCTCTAAAATAGAAGTAAAAGAAGAAAGTCCTGAGTCAAAAGCAGAAAGAGAACTAAAAGCTTCCCAGAGATCAACCAGAAGACACAGAAACATGCACTGCAAGGTTTCTCTGCTGGATGACACAGTTTATGAATGTGTTGTGGAAGTGAGTGTTCTTTGCTTTCCAGTAGTTGGAACTCTTTCAGATTATTTCATTTGGGTTGGGTAAGTGGTGTCATGGCCTGAAATAAGACCCAGTCTGACTGTTTCTATGGACAGAAACATTAAGTGATCTTAGAGGTACCGAGTGCTGATTGCGCCACTGGAGTCACACCAGTGTTAAGTGATCTTGTAAGAGTGGAGATGTAGGATTATGAATGGGTCTTTTTTTCATCTCCAATTTCTTTCTGAATCTGCCAAATCTTGTGACTTGAGCATGTATTGCTTTTATCATCAAAAACAATTTTGCTTAAAAAAAAAGGCTTGTTGTTTGTAGAGTAGCCCAGCTAGATTTCTGATGTTAGGTTCATGCATTCCCATAATTGTGTTTGTTTAAAAAATTTACCATCTTTTTCATGTCTGCTTTCACAAATATAAGCCTTAATGTGTTTTCTTAGCCCATGAGATAGCATATAAAAATTTTAAATCAAATAATGTCATTTCTTAATACAGGTACCCAATTTGGCAGTAGTTTGAGTGTTTAGGTAAAAAAAAAAAAAAAAGAAGAAATAATTTGCAGCACAAATGAAAGAGCTCCTGCAACTGACAATGTCTATAGGATATGTAGATTTTTACACTTTATGCATTTTTGGGGAAAGATTTCAGAGAGTTGAAACATAGCTCATTTTCTTGGTACAGTAGTCTGGGATTGAGAGTGTGATGACTTCTATGGCCACTGCTGTCATTGCTGCTCTTGATTGATTTAGTTAGGTGGTCAAGGAGACTGATGACAGCCCAATAGCAAGCTTCAGAAAATACTCACCAAAAAGAAAGTGTGATATTTAGGAGAGGGAGGGAGTTGTAGATGGAGGGAAGGTAGAATTTTGATTTGAATTGTAGCACTATTTCTAAGCCATTTAAATGTGTTGCATATTTAAACTGACAAATTATGACACAGAATTTTGTTTGTCTACATTGTTTTACTTATACTCTGTGGCCATCTGAAAGTGTTAATAACTAAGATTGAAAGAGGAAATTGGAAAGTAGCATTTTATTTGGTGATCAATACAGGAATAAGAAGAACCCTCGACTAAAGTGTGTATATCTTTGCAGAAGCATGCCAAGGGGCAAGATTTGCTTAAACGAGTGTGTGAGCACCTTAATCTTTTGGAAGAAGACTATTTTGGTCTAGCCATTTGGGATAACACAACCTCTAAGGTGAGGAGACTTCCCTTTTTGTGATATAAGAGGCTAAAAATATGTATTTTAGGTTTTTTTATTGATAAAAATGTATTTATTCATGCCTCTCCAAAACACAGCATACTTAGTTATTCCTGTCTATTATGGTTTCTTGGATTTTCCCTTTAGAATTAACATTTTAAAGGAAAGACTATTACTGGTATGTTCTTTCATCATTGAGAAATTGTATATTTTTAAAAGACGGGGAAAATAAAGACACAAGACATCCTGATGAGGAAATAGATACAAATAATTTCTATATGCAATTTGAATTATATTTAAATGCAGTACGTTCATAGTAAATATTCTTGTTGGAGAGATGGTCTATCAATATTATAATTATAAACTATACTTGTAATTTGGGAGTGATGTTATAAAAGAGAATAAAGTTATTTTTATTAAAACAGTCAGCCTTAATACATAGAGTGAATTTGCTATTTTCTTCTAGCCTAAAAGGAAACCAGTAGTTAACTTTTGAAAGAAATAAAAGAAAGGGTGAGAACATGGAAGAGAAAAGAAAGGTTAAAAGTCAGGTATTTAATTCAGAACACTTGAATTATTTCCTGGGCCAATTAACTGAAAATTACAAATATTTAAAATCTAATAATGAAAACTTTAATCCAACTTGACAAGAATTTGTAAGTACTATAGTAATTGATAAAGATATAGCTGTGAATAAGGTCTACACGGTCCCTCCTTCTGTAACTTACAGTTTAGCGTGATGAGTGTTATACAAAAGGGAAGTACAAGATGTCCTGGGAGGTGAATGGCACAGAAATCTTCTCTGGGGAGGTGATGCCTAAACCAAGACCTGAAGCAGAGAGAGTGGCTTGTGTGAAGACTTGATGTTGAGAAAGTAACTTTTGAGGAACCAAGAGCCATCTTGCTTGGCTAAGCTAAGCATTAGAGTGAGGAATCAAGTAATAGATAAATCTGGACAGCTCCTTGGGGGCCAAGTCATGGCGAAAGAATCTTGTGTCAACATACTTAAGCCATTTTAGTTGGTTCTTTTTCCAGGATTATTTATGTTTATTAAGAAAAGTTGAGGAGCTACAGTCATTAACACCTGCAAACCCTGTCTGTTGAGTTATGGGAGTTAGGTAATGTACACTAGAAGACATGAACTTGCCTTCTGCCTAAATAAAATCTCTGTGTAGAATGTACCAGTAGTTGCCTAGTAGTTTTCAGCAGCTTGTTCATTCTATGAATGACTCAAACAGAAGAAATATGTCTACCAGCACTAGGTTAATTTGTTCTTTAAGTATTTATAACCTTTACTCTGTCTAAAGACTCAAATCAGCTTATACTGAAGCCTCTAGTTTCCATTAGGAAGGGAAGATTGAAGGTAGTGAAAAGTGAAACAATAGCCCAAAACTACAGTGAAAAACTTTATGAGCTACAAAATTATCTATGAATCAAGAAAAATATTCTGGAAAGTATTTTATGTTATATATGAGTGATAAAATGGAATATTTTTATATTGGGGGGAGGCCAAAGATTGACTAGCAAATAATTAAGGATCCTTGAATGTGGCCTATAAATAAAATATGAATAATAAAGTCACTAAATACCTAGTTGTTTAATAACTGGAAATAAATTTTCCATGAACCAGGAATACTTAAATTTCTAGAAGCTGACTCATCCAAAGGCGTTCAGCTAAGGAAATCCTTTCCACTTGCTGTTGAGCTTCTAGGGCCACATTTTGAATTTTAGCACTATCTCCATTGTTTTCAGCTGCACTGAAAACTTTTCACCATTGTTGGTGCCATCCATACTTTGTCCTATCAGCAAGTTTTATTTCTTTTATAGTAGTTTTCACTATTTTTAATGAGTGGAGTTAAATTGCTTTACTTATAAAATTCATTTATATATTGAAGTGTAAATTGTTATTAAAAGTGCCTAGTATAAAAACTGAACAGCCAGCCTGGCTGTGTTAAAAAAAGGGACGGGAGAGCATTATTGTTCCTCTTGATAAAATGTCCCTGGAAAAGAAAAACTGATGTCTCTGAATCATAATCTAGCTTCTGCTTCCTGATAGTTTATAGGAACCCCTTCTGGGGAAATCAGTGGACAAATGAGTTCTGTGGAACAATAGAGCTTATCATAGTCTAAGCATCTGGCAGGTCTGTAGTACAGGCTAGGTTCGTACAGGATATCCAGGAGGAACATAGTCATGGGCTGATCTATATTTTCTGCTTCTAAATTCATCATGGCTGACCTCCAGCTCTTGGAAGTAGGTCAAAGGAGAGTTTTTCTTTGAGTTAAGTGAGGACCTTTAACTGATCCAAGAAGCAGAACACAGAAAGGAAAGCAGGAACTTTATTTGCACCTGCCTTAGATCTTGTACAAAAATGAACCTGAGGAGACCTTGCGTAGCATTGTCAGGCTAAACGACTAACTGGCAGCAAAAGCCATCTTGGTGATGACAATTTTTCCTCCACATGCTATTTCTGAGTCACACTTCTCTGATCTATCAATAGTTGGGTTGCCCTCTCTGTCTTATAAATAGCTGCCCCTGGTATTTCACATCTAGTGAAAGTGTCTTCACTTTTCTGCCATCTTGCCAGAACTCACATTCTGAGTCTTGTATCTTTGTATGACCTCCCTTCTCCCCTGCCCTTTGTAGAATTAAGCCAGTAGAATCTTTTCTTTTTTGGTCTTTAGGACTTTGAGATTTACACTTATCCATCTTGGTGCGGGGTTAATTACCACCATTATTCTGGCATGATATCTGTATTCTTGATTGCAGGGTGGTTCACTAAAAAATGGCTTTGTCTGTAGACAAAGCCAGTTGCCTGTCTGAGTGTGGAGGGATTTAGTAAAGGGTTGAAAGGGTGAAACATTGGGCCTCCCCTGTGGCGCAGTGGTTGAGTGCTGGGTTGCGAAGCTGCCTGCAGCCTCTGCAGCGCCGGTTCGATCCCCGGCTTCTCCCCGGCCACTGGGTGAGGGTCCCACATGGCGTGCAGACCTCTCCTGATGCCCTCTGCTGCCCTCAGCAGTGTACTTTGGTCCTTCTGCCTGCTCTGCTCCCTGCTCTGGCTCTGTTGAATTCTCTCACCCTCCCGCGTTTCTGACTGTACCCAGTGCTTGTATAAATAAATAAATAAATAAATCTTAAAAAAAAAAAAGTTTAAAAAAAAAAAGGGTGAAACATTGTTATACTGTAGAGAATAACTGTTACTTACGTTTGTAAATTATGTGAATAAATTGCTTCTCCCTTTTCTCATTGGTAAAATAGGAATGGCAATAAGATAATCTGTATAAAAATGGTACCTGGAAGCACTCAATAAAAGGAAGCACTCAATAAAAATTAGACTACTGTTGGGGCCTCCCCGGTGGCGCAGCGGTTGAGCCCTGGGTTGCGAACCTGCCCGCAGCCTCCGCGGTGCCGGTTCGATCCCCGGCTGCTCCCCAGCCACTGGAGGAGGGTCCCACATGGCGCGCAGACCTCCCCTGCGGCCCGCTGCTCCCCTCAGCAGTGTACCTCGGTCCTTCTGCCTGCTCTGCTCCCCGCTCTGGCTCTGGTGAATTCTCTCACCCTCCCGTGCTTCTGACTGTACCCAGTGCATGTATAAACAAAAAAACAAACAAATAAATAAACATGCCTCTATAAAAAAAAATTAAAAAAAAATTAGATTACTGTTACTGTCATATGATAGTATCATTTAAAAATGATATTATTAACTGACCAAAGCCTTTGCTTAAAATATTAGATTTCTGTGTCATAATTTAGAGATACACTCTGGAGTATCCTTCAAGATGAATAATCTACTTGATCTTTTTTCAGGTAACATATACTGGAGAACGGCATACTTCCTACGTAAAATTGATGAAGCTAATCAAATTATCTGACTTCACTTTAGTTACCAATCTCTATACCTGTGATCAATATATTAGCCAGATTTCCAGATATTCTCTCTGGAAGTATTAGATATTCACAGAATGATTAAATCTGTAAAGCAATTAGTGTTTATTAGTCATTTATTTAAACTTTCCATCATTCTGGAAACACAAAGGATGTTAGAGCTATAATGGTTCTTGAAGCATAACTCCTCATTTTATTTTATTTTTTTATTTTTTGAGATTTATTTATTTATACAAGGACTGGGTACAGTCAGAAGCACGGGAGGGTGAGAGAATTCACCAGAGCCAGAGCGGGGAACAGAACAGGCAGACCGACGAAGAAATACACTGCTGAGGGGAGCAGCGGGCGGCAGGAGAGGTCTGTGCGCATTGTGGGACCCTCGTTGGTGGCAGGGGATCGAATCGGTGCTGCAGAGGCTGCGGGCAGCTTCTCAGCCCAGCGCTCAACCACTGTGCCACCAGGCAAGGCCCATAACCCCTCATTTTAGAGATGAAAGAAAGTGTGACTTCCTCCAAGCCACAAGTCACTTCACTCTCAGAATTCCTTACCTGCTGCCTCTTCCTCAGTGGTTTTCTTTCTCAGTTTTTGTTCCTTCTCTTCTTTTTATTAATTTCCCCTTTACTTTTGCACTTTATTTTGGTTTTTTCCTACCTACAGAATTAGTTCTTTATATTGTGGGGAAAATATGAATGACATACAAGAGATAAAGATTTTATCCCTTTTCCATTTCCAGTCTCTGTGGTGTCTTTTTCTCGCGTATGTAAAGACTTTTCCTGTGTAATATAACTTCTTAAGAGCTTCTAGATCTGAGTGTTTTTGTTGTAAACAACTGGATACCTTTAGCAGAGAGGAAAGTTAATGAATTGACTTTTTCCTCACTTGCAATGGCTCACTTGCTCCCCTTAGGCTTCTTGCCAGATTGAGTCTAACCAGAGAAAAGGAAAAGCAGTCAGGAGCAAACATCTATGTCCTTGAGAGATTTATTGCCACTATGAAATAGGGTTATATGGGTTAGTTATTTCCAATATTTTATTACTGCTTAGAATTATTTATGAATGAATCAAGGATCTTTTCCATGGAGGAGAAGTCATACTCTCCTTCTACCTGCCTCCCCCTCTTAATTCCCTCTGTAAGCAAAACACTTGAGCTGTTCTGGTAAATAATGCAAAGTTAAAATTAGAAGTTCATTCAATGCAATAAACATTAACTAGCAAAAACCACATACCAGATGATGTGCTGACACAGAGAATTTGAACAAGACTGGAGGTCAGAATTAGAGGGAAAAAATACAATTTGGGTGATGTCAATCCTGATTAGAGTGTTACTAGTCTTTATAGAATAACAAAATTTCTTGTTTAAGAATTTTATATGTATTAACTCATTTAATCTTTACAATAACTCTGTGAGATAGGCTCTGCTACTATTATCTCATTTTATAGATGGGGAAACTGAGGAATAGGCTTGCCTAAAATCACTCAGCTACGAAGTAATAAATCTAGCATTCAGGTCCAACTGTGTGGTCCCCCATTTCTCTGCTCAAAATTACTATGCTATCTGAAATAAATGCAAGAATATCAAAAGTGTAGGTTGACCAGGAGGTAAGTAATCATCTTCTGGTACTCTGGTTTGAGTTTTGGAGCTCTGTGTGAATGCATTATTGTTTTGTTTTGTTTTTTTCTTTTTTTCTTAACAGACATGGCTGGATTCTGCCAAAGAAATAAAAAAACAAGTTCGTGGTAAGTGAATATAATCCTTTTTACAGTTCTTTGATTCTTTTAGTGGGTCAGAGAATTTCTACCCATCTTCTGGTTGTGAGTCACTTTAGACTCCTGACTATGCAGATGGCTTTGAAATTGAGATAAAGCCTCACCCTGGAAGGAGGGATTCCATAGTAGAAAGATATAGCAAGGTGGACACTGTCAAGATGTAGGTCAAATTTTGATGATTTTTTTTTTTTTTTACAACTAGGCAAAGTTGGGGAATATAGGAATGGTTGAGAAACAGAAGGTGAAAAAGAACATAGATGAGAAGAGAAAAGGGATAGTGATTGAAACCATAGTAGCCAACAGTTGGTTTGCTGCCCAATTCTGTTTCTTTTAAATGGTTCCTGACTATTGCATCTAATCTTTTCTGTCTTTTCTTTGGTACAGTTCTTTTTGTCTATTTTCAACAGTCTTCCAAATTGAAATAAAGACACTGTGGAAGACAAAAATAATATATATATATATATATATAAATGAGAATTTCTTTCGTATGGCCCTTCTGACATTGTGGCTTTCTCTTAACTCTTAAGTCCTCCAGCATATATTACTGCTGAACACTGCTGATGTTCTGGATAATATTTCTAGGTCTAAAAGGGGTAGATTAATATATTGTAGTCCCAGGCCCAATGGGGCTAGCTACAGTGTAGAGACACTCCCCTTCCCCATCCCTATTTATCAGTACATGTCCTTTTAGTTTAGTTTATTTTTGAGAAACTTCTAGGAACTGAAATAGACATTACTCATCATGATTAACAAAAGAAAAAAGAAAACACTTATTATGGTGAGATGTTTCCCTATTTATAGTTTATTTTCTTAAGATTAAGAAACAAAATGCTCTTTTGGACTGGCAACTCTCCACATTGCTCCCTGACTATAAAATCTTGTTTCACAATGTAAGCTAGAGCAAAAAGTATCTAGATTACTTGAGACATTACAAGAAAAACCACTCCAAGCTCCTTTTAATTAAAATGCTTTTCATATTCAATATTACTCAGGAGAAAATGATTGTACAAAAAAACTCTTCAGGAAGAAAAGTTAAAAAAGAGTTTATAAGGAGTAGAGAAGAATAATTAGATTATCTTCCTCTTAAAAAAATTTTTTTGCCGGGCCTCCCTAGTGGCGCAAGGGGTTAAGATGCAACCTGTGAAACTATCCACAGCGACTGCAGCACGAGTTCGATCCCTGGCCAGGGAGCTACCCACATGGCACAGCAGACCTCTCCTGACTCGCCTATTGATTCCTTCAGCAGTGTATTTCAGTCAGTCTACCTGTTCTGTTCCCCACTCTGTCTCTGGTGAATCCTCTCACCCCCTGCATCTCTGGCCTGTATCAGTTCTTGTATGCATAAATAAATAAATCTTAAGGGCCTCCCCGGTGGCGCAGCGGTTGAGCCCTGGGTTATGAAGCTGCCCGCAGCCTCTGTAGAACCAGTTCGATCCCTGGCCACCGGGCGAGGGTCCCACATGGTGCACAGACCTCTCCTGCCGCCCGCTGCTCCCCTCAGCAGTGTATTTCTTCATCAGTCTGCCTGTTCTGCTCTCCGCTCTGACTCTGGTGAATTTTCTCACCCTCCCGCGCTTCTGACTGTACCCAGTGCTTGTATAAATAAATAAATAAATAAATCTTAAAAAAAAAAAAAAAAAAAAAAACTTTTGCCAAGAAAAAGAACTAAATATTTGTCTTTTTTTTTTTTTTTAAGTTCTCAGTCTAAACAACTTCTTTTTCTTTTTAAAATAAGAACATTTTATCCACAGAGCATGAAAATATTAAAAGACCTCAGGGAGAGAAAAGGATTTTTAATATTTTTAGGTAATAAGTTTACGTATAAGCATAAAATTCTTTTGTGTTTATTTTTATAGGTGTCCCTTGGAATTTCACATTTAATGTAAAATTTTATCCACCTGATCCAGCACAGTTAACAGAAGATATAACAAGGTAAATAATTTATTAATAGTTAAATATATAATAAGTAATTCTCATTATTATAAGCTCTGGGACTTTATTCAGAATTGAAGAAAAATGAATGATTAAATCTGAGGTAGAAAGTTTGAAGAAAATGAGTTCTATTAAATCTAAGATAGAAGGTTTCTGGTTTCTTCAAGACAATTTGAAATCCATGAACCTAAAAACCTGACACATTCTGGCTTGCCTGGAGGAAACTGACAAGAATTGACCTTGTTTATCTGTCATAATGCCAAGCTATGGACAGGACACATATAAACCCACAGCGCCCTCCAAAGGTCAAGACATAAATATAGTGGGTGAAATACCTCTATTTTTTTCCGTTTCCCATTATGTTCTCGCTTATAGGGATCAAAAAACCTGATATGGCAGTGTTGTTATTATTTCTTTCTGTCTCTCTTTTAAAGTGTATAATTAGGAAAATGATCTTCATGAACTGAATTTTCCTCAGTAATTTTTGAGCCCACTTAATTTAGGCAATGAATTGTGTGCTCTTTAATCAGCTTACTGATTTCTTTTAAGAAAGTTACCTTTATTGGATCCTATATAAATATTAATAAAAAAAGAAAATGGGAAAGCATTATGTAAATATTGTAAAGAGTAATACTGTACTTACCTATTACATCCATAGCATCTTGCATAGGGCCTTATACATAGTAGATGTCTGGCTAGTGTCTGTTAACATTGAAGTGTTGTTTGTTGAGAAAGTGTTTTGTAGTTTTAATTTTGCTGATAACTATCTGACTTCAGACACTTTTAGAACCTCTGGGCCTCAGTTTTCTTATCGCTCCAGGGAATAACCCAAATAAGCTCTTTAAGTACTGTGAAATGTCTACACCATTTTTAAAGATTATTTTTTGTAATCCTTAGTACATTCTTGGAGTTGTGATGCCAACGTTTTTCTGTCAGTTATTTCTTTAGTTGTCTTATTTAATTGTTTTATCTATTTCTTTTTTGCCGGTAATATTTGTCTCTTAAGTTGCTATTTATTCATCTTTCTTCATTGAGGCTTATTATACAGAAAATAAAACAAATTCTTAAAAATATTACCTGATCACCAACATTTTAGAGATATTTATGAGTCTGTGGCTTGGTTGGCCTTGCTCTGTGTTAAAAGAAAATTTTATGTAGTGACTAATTATAGGTAGCAAAAGTGATTATTGATGCTTATGCTATTCAACATCTTATTATAGTCCAAACAAGAATATGATTCTAATTAATATAGGACTTTTCCATTTAATCATATCTTCCAGTTTTTCTGTTTGGTAAAACATCTAAACTGGTCAACTCAGTTGGTTAGAACAAGTGCCAAGGAGGTCAGGGCCATCAGTGTGAATACCCTGCTGACTGAGAAGAGTGACTGCCATGCAGGGAGGGTCACTCCGTGGTTTGTTAGACTGAACTGTGTTCTTCCTCATCTGAAGGCCAGCAATTAAGCACACAGGTGGAATCAGTTTTACAAGATGATAGTGTGTGGAAAGGTGCATGCAACTTAGTTTCTTAGAGGAGAAACATAACAAAAATGTTCATGTTCTATTGAAAAAGTATTAATAATGTTATCTTTGTATATGAAAGACATTATCTACACATTTGGCAAAGTAGTATACAGAAAAGAAAGAGCCCAATTTTGGAGTCAAATAGCCTTTATTACAATCTGACAATGAGCAAGCTTAGCCTTTGGGGCTGCCCTCATATATATAATCTGGTAATGATACTCACCTCACAAGTTTTTTTGTGAAGATTAGACCTAGGTATATATATATATATATATATATATATATATATATACATATATGCCTACATATCTGTATATTTGTAGATATATAATTTTTATGTGAGTTGTGTTATCTTGTATCTCATCTTAATACATATAGTACTTAGTGCATTCAAGAGTATTTTTTTTACCTCCTTCAGACTTTTCACAACTTTTCTTCCTTTCTTTCTAAATTGCTTTCTAACCATAAGCCCAACATAATTTTTTAATGTTTTATGTGGAAAAATTTAAAACACAGAGAAAGAAAAAAAATGATAGTACAATAGTACTATTATTTAGTACAATGAATAATAGTAAAATGAACAACCTAAGACCCTCTACTTAGATTGAACAATTATTATTATCTCAGATTTACTTAATCTCTCTTTTCTTCTCCCTTCTCTTTCCCCTTTTCTTCCTTTTTCTCTGTATTTTGTTACTGTTGTTGCTGACATAGTAATGTTTTTTCTTTCTTTTTTCCCTGTAGGTATTATTTATGTCTTCAGCTCCGGCAGGACATAGTTGCAGGACGCCTGCCCTGTTCCTTTGCAACCTTAGCATTGTTGGGTTCTTACACCATCCAGTCTGAGCTGGGAGACTATGACCCAGAGCTCCATGGGGCAGATTATGTCAGTGACTTTAAACTGGCCCCAAATCAGACCAAGGAACTTGAAGAGAAGGTCACGGAACTACATAAATCATACAGGTAAATACATCTCCTGGGTTTGTTTCTTTGTTTTGGCAATAAGTTTAAGTCCTTGACCTGGGATTGATTCAGTGTTTGTTTAGCCAGAATGTAGTAGTCTGAAAACAGTCAGTGTGAGGTCAGTTCTTTCTCAATTCTTTGGACAAGTCATTTAGGCCCATTGAACCTCAATTTTTCTCACAGAGTAAAGTGTGTTATAAGACATCAAATAAGGTAGAACACTAAACATATAGTCTGGCACATAGTAGGTACTCAATGAATGGTAGCTATTATTACCATTGCCTTATTTTTTTAATCTGGATTTTAAACATATTGTACTGTATTTAGTGGTTTAAGGTCCTTACAGCAGGGATTCGAAACTTAGGAGAGTTTTATGTGGATAGATGACAGAGGACCCTGAAAGTATTTTAGAAATCTATATCTAATTCACTGCTTTTCTTCATGGGAATAATTGGTGATGTTGGGAGATATGATACAGTGATCAAGAGGAAAGGCTTAAAGTCAGACTAAACGGGGTGAAATCTTGGCTCTGCTTGGTCCTGGACTTCTGACCTTGGGTAATTTACTTAACTTATCTGAGCCTCAAGTTTCCTTGTATGTATGATGGAGATGACTACTTCAGAGGAAAAAGAGTGATCGATAGGGTTAGAATAAATAATTATGGACAAACTTAGTCTTACACATAGTAAAAATTGAATACATGCTAGCTGATATTAAAGTGCCACAATAATTTGTGTTTCTTCCTACCGCAGTTATTTGAGTGACTTGCTATAACTAACTTTATAAGCTATTTTAACTTATTAATGTGAATGTCTGATCTTAAGTTACTGAGTTATGTCAACATGAGTTGTGTTGTGATACTCGGAAGCATCGCACTGCTAAGAGAAAAATCCAGAGTGCTCCTGGTAGGCTTTTTCATGATAATAACAAATATTCTGTCCAGCCATTGCACCATCCTATTTCCTCAGAGTGATTGCAATAGGACTTGCAATGACTGGGGTACTTCAAATTAGATGGGTTTAACTCAGGGCACCCAATTCTGGGTACCTTATTGCCCCTGTAGGTTCCAGTACTTCGGTCATGAAAACCATGGCAGGGCTTTAATGCTTACAATCTACATATCAATAGTCTTATAAGAATCACCCTACTCTCTTGGAGTCACATTGTTTCCACAGAGAACTGCCAAAATTTGGTTTTTAAGTCCGAGTGTATACATTTCAATGTACTGATGTCTAGGGTCACTAAATACACCACTTTCACCTTGCTGATGATTGTAACTGAAACACATTATTAAATACTTCTATTTATATTCTGATTATTAATCTAGATACATATATTCATACATATACATACAAAAGCAAGTAATAGAATGAAACAAATATTTCGTTAGAATGTTGGGATTAAAGGGGAATAATCTTTTTATTTTCTAATAATTTTAAATAACTTTATTAGTGATAATATAATCTTTGGACAATTAGTAAAGTAGTATAAGAAAATACTTGGCTGCTTCTGTGAAGCCAAATAGCAGAAAATAGTGGTATCATACTGTGATTAATATCTTATATCTATGATGGCTTTTTTTTTTTAAAGATTTATTTATTTATTTATACAAGCACTGGGTACAGTCAGATGCGCAGGAGGGTGAGAGAATTCACCAGAGCCAGAGCTGGGAGCAGAGCAGGCAGAAGGACCGAAGTACACTGCTGAAGGGAGCAGCGGGCGGCAGGAGAGGTCTGCGCGCCATGTGGGACCCTCCTCCGGTGGCCAGGGAGCAGCCGGGGATCGAACCGGCGCTGCAGAGGCTGCAGGCAGCTTCGCAACCCAGCACTCAACCGCTGCGCCACCGGGGAGGCCCTATGCAGAATATTTTTAAAACAACTAGCTAAACTACTGAGACCTGAGTATTAGATAGCATTAACATTAACATCCTGGTGTTGATAGTTGTATTGAAGTTATGTACGAGAATGTCCTTGTTTATAGACATTTGTTTATACTGACATATTGGAATGACAGATCATCAAGTTGCAATTTACTCTGAGGAGAAAGTTATTTGTAATTTTTAAGTTTAAGAGTGTTTTTAAAAATTAAAAATTATATTAAAAAAATAAATGCAAGGGCCTCTCTGGTGACGCAAGGATTAAGTCTCAGCACTATGAAGCTGTCATCAGCCACCACAGCATGAGATCGATCCCTGGCCAGGGAGCTAACCCACATGGCACAGCAGACCTCTCCTGTTTCAGCCGCTGCTCCCCTCAGCGATGTACTCCAGTCAGTCCTCCTGTTCTGCTCCCCACACTGTCTCTGGTGAATCTGCTCACCAGCCCACTACACCCCTGGCCTGTACCCCAGCACTTGTACGTATAAATAAATAAAATGAATCTTAAAAAAAAAAAAAATGCAAGTGTTAGCCAAACATCCAATACAAGTATTATTTTCAATTAACAAAAAGTTATTGTTTTAAAGTTATTTATTTATTTTATACAAGATGCGTGGAAAGTGAGAGGATTCACCAGAGACAGAGCGGGTCACAGTACAGGCAGACTCATGAAATACACTGCTGAGGGGAGCCGCGGGTGGGACAGGAGAGGTCTGCCGCACCACGTGGGACCCTCGCTGGCCGGCCAGGATCGAACCAGCTCTGCAGAGGGTGCGGACAGCTTCACAGCGCGGTGCCCAACTGCCTGAGCCACCAGGGGGGCCCTGAAAGCATACTTATTTATGAAAGTATCTTTTTACATAGTTTGAAATTTTTATCTGAATTTAAATTGACCCCATTAATATGGTTCTTAGAGTTGAAGGAATGAGTATAGGGAAGATTTTATCATGATTACTTCATTTAATATTTTAACATTTGTCTTCATATTCAAGCAGTCAAAATTTCTTTATGAGCCTATGTACCATCAAAAAACTAAGGTTACAATAATAAACATTTATACTTTACAAAGTAGTCTCACAATCATTAACTCGTTTGCTCCTACTGGTCACATTTATTCATTAAGCAAAGTTTAAAAAAAAAAAAAACATTGCCTGTCCTAGTATCTGGAAGTAGGTATTGTGGTTCTTACTTTATTAGGAAATGGAGGGAGACACGGGCCACCACCCTTAAGTGTAGGAGCCAGGGCTCCAGCTCCAAGATGTGGTTGAGTCATAACTTGCCCAAGACCATGTGATCCCTCAGGGCCTATTTCCTCATTAGTGAAGTGAAATTGTTGGACTCTATAATCTTCAAGCTCCATTCTAGTTTCAAAATCTTAAAATTCAACTCACTGATACTACTAACAACAAAAGACATAAACTGACTGGGTGCATCTTAACTAGATAAGTCTGTTCTTTACATGGGGATAGAGAGGGGTGAACTACAGAACTTTCCTGAGATATTTTCAATGACTTGAATATGGGTTAATTTAATTATTCTCCTGTTTTATGTGTTCAATTTCAGACCCATTAATAAATAGAATTCGGGTGTTACGCTTTAGACGTTTGTTGGGTTTGGGGGAGCTAAGTCTTGAACAAATCTGTTGACTCTCTTTTTCATTATTGTTTCAAGGAACCCTTTGTTCTTTTTAATGAGGGTAAAGACAGATGGGCTAGGAAGAGACTTTCTCCTATTAGATGAACTGGGCACTGCTGCTTTGTTTAGCTTGAGGCAGTCTTATGGGAAAGAGGGGTTTACACGATTTTTCTTTGGGGATGTGGCTGCATTATTATTATGAATTTATACTTGATTATTCCGAATTGTGCAGCCCTAAGAGTGTTATCTTTTTCTTAAAACATTAGTTCATCAGCAGTTTCAAGAAAAAAGTTATAAAGGAGTAGGAAAGGCCATCACAGTGTTTAGGCAGAGAGACTAATTGTTTCAAACAAATTTAATTCATTGTATGCCTACTATTGGGGACATTGTACTAACAGAAAAAGCAGTCCCATTATCTACATGTGTCTATTAACCAATTTATTTTGTGTAGATCAGTGGGCAGGATACCATCTGTTACCAAAAATTTTCTTTTCATCAAGCCTGCCCCCAGTAAGTCCCCAGTTAAGTAACTTTAGCTGCCCTCCTGGTTAATTTCCATAATAACCTTATTCAGAGGTTGGTAGAGAAAAAGGCAGCTAAGAGGATATTGTAAATTGTACCATACCCTCAAAGGATTTAATTTGGTCACCGCCTTAACAAAAATAAAATTAGCAGGAGGAGGGTTTATGTGAGTTGGAGAAAAAGGGAGGAGTAGGAGGGACTGAATTGATTATGGGTGAAGAGCTTTAAGAGCTTTAAATTGTATGTTGGATTTTTTTTAAACTTTTTTCTTATAGCTTTTTGATGACTTTGTGTTTCTCTAAGATGTCCTTTTTGGGGGAAATATTTCAATAATTTAGACACAGGTAGTGAAAAGTCCTTTTCCATAATATTCCACTTTCAGGACCATGAAATATATCTATAATATATATTGATCTATATATTGATCTATATGTCAATATTTATAATACATGTATTTACGAGCATATTTTTATAAAGTACAGTTACACTATAACATTGCGTTTTTATCTTTGTTTTTTCAAAGGTCCATGACTCCAGCTCAGGCTGACTTGGAATTTCTTGAGAATGCCAAAAAGTTGTCAATGTATGGTGTTGACCTTCATAAAGCAAAGGTAAAGATAACCTTGGCTGTTTTCAATATGAATGCATCAGACCTTTGTCACATAGTACCTTCATCTGGGTTATTATAAAGTATTCAAAATAAACAGTAGCACTTGTTAGAATTTTAGGTCTTTCAATTGAATCAATCAGGTGTATCATATGTATGCATTGAATGTATATCAATCTTTGGGTTGTATAGAACATTCAAAAGAGATGGTTCTTTTTTAAATTTTTAAAAAAAATTTTACATCATTGTTCATTTTTAAACAATATTTGCTTCCCCCTACCCCCTCAGGTGTAGTCCCCATAGAGTTTCCTTCACCCGTGTACCCGTGCACCATCACCTCAGTCCCCTGTGTTCCTCCCTCCTGCCTTCTGATCCCCCTCCCTCCACCTCCTCTGCAGTTTGTCTCTGATTTATAATTGTCTATTTTTGCTTTGTTGTGTTTTGTACTGTTGTTGGTTTTTTACACTGTTGTCTTATTTGGTTCTCCTATATTCCTGCTATAAGTGAAACCATCCAATTATTTTTCTTTTTCCTTCTGGCTTATTTCATTGAGCATAATTCCTTCTAGCTCCATCTATGTTGTTGTGAATGGCATGAGTTTATATTTTTGATTGCTGAATAATATTCCGTTGTGTATATGTACCACATCTTTTTGGGCATTTGGGTTGTTTCCAGGTTTTGCCTATTGTAAATAGTGCTGCAATAAACATAGGGGTACAGGTGGTCTTTTGAATCAATGTTTTTGTGTCCTTTGGGTAGATCCCTAGGAGTGGAATTGCTGGGTCGTATGGTAGCTCCATTTTTAGTAGACTGAGGAACCTCCAGACAGCGTTGCATAGTGGTTGGACCTGTTTGCACTCCCACCAGCAATGTAGGAGAATTTCTTTTTCACCACATCCTTGCCAACATTTGTTGCTTGTTTTTCAAAAGAGAGGGTTCTTACTGGAATTTTTAAGTCTGTCAATGGAATCAGGCAAGTGTATCAAAAGTATAAATTGACTTGCCCTTTTGTGACTTTACTACCACATGAAGTTTCATGTACATATACTGTAAGGATCAAAAAATAGAGCAAATAGAGCAAAAGAAATGATACTTTCCTAAAGTATCAAATGTGAAGGTGTGTTTGAAAATATAGAATGTCACTAAGGCCTGTTTTACAGCCAAGATCACTTACATCAGAATCACCTGTAAGGTTTATATGCTGAATTACTTTGGAGAGGAGATTGTAAAATCTCCGGAATCACTGAACTTCCCAAATGATTCTCATTCATATTTCAATGTGAGAATTATCAGCCAGAGGTGGTGGTTTTCAGAGTGTGATCTCTGAACTGGCAATGTTTAGCATCATCTTGGAACTTGTTGGAAATGCACCTTTCACGCCCCATCTCAGAGATACTGATCAGCAACTCTGTGGGTGGAGTCCAGCAGTCTGTTCTAACAAGCTCTGCGAGTGATTCTGATGTACACAGAATGGGCCATAGTATCTCTGTTGAGGACCGCTGGGATGGGGAATTGAGCTTTAATACTACCCATGCTTAAATACAGTTTAACTGAATACTTAATGGAAGTCATTTGACTTCGCTCATCTTCAGCTACTGAAATAGTTGAGGAAATTGTGAGGGAAAGGGCTCAAGGGATGATCTGAGATTCCTTTAGAGGGACAACTAGGATGCATGATGGTGAGACTCAGAACCATGTCCAGAAATAAGCAAAGGAATAAGGATGCTTAGCCCACAGGAGAGAAAGTTTAGGGAAGACATAAACATCTATCTTCGTGTATTTAAAGGATTGATATGTGAAGTACAGATTTTACTGTGGCTTCAAAATATAAAACTAGAGCCAATAAAATGGAAACTACAGGGAAATACTATCCAGCTCAGTTTGAAAAATTGTGTAATAGTCAGAGCTATTCGGAGACAGGCTAGACTACCTGAGAAGGTTGTGTACTTTCTGTCACTGGAGGAATTCCAAGATAGGCTGAGTAATCATTTGGTAGGAATTTAGAAAAGGACAAACATCTGGTGGGTGATTGGACTATAGTGATCTTTCAGGCCACTCCCAACCTTAATATCTAGTATTTGAAGTCTCTTTCTTATTTAAACTCTACTAATTATAGTAAAATTTCATTGTTTGTTGGTTTTTCTTAAGATGCTGCTCCTTACTGTTTTGCACTAGTTAGTGTTTTGACTGTAACTTCTGTGACTCTCTAAAGCACTCAGAGGGTAGGATGAGCAGCACATCAGGTCAGGTGTGTCTGTTCTGTGAAGTTTTTAGTTGTTACTTCTCAGTTCCTGCTAGAGGCTGGTGTCAAGTTAGTAATTGTTAGAAAAGGATGAAGGATTTAGGCAGTATGTTCCTTTCCCAGAGGATGTAGAGCAGATAGTATCTCCAAAACATATAATTAAGATAGAGATATAGTTGTACCCAGAGGCTTTAGGAACTTAAGAGGGTTCTTCTGGAAAATTCTGTTATATGGTCATGAAATCGGAGCTATATATAGTTAATACTTCTCGATTTTGCTGCACTAACACATGTAGCACAAATGTGTTTCTCTATACTCACCTTGAGAAAAGAAGCAGAGATGGACTCAGGTGAAATTAATTTTCCTTAAATTACAGACATTAATAATGTATAATTTAAAAATGTCTTTAATAAAGATGCATGTAAATGTGGCTTTGTTTTATCACATATATGTATTTGAACCTGAGAAGGTTGCGTGCTCTCTGTCACTGGAGGAATTCCAAGATAGGCTGGAGATATATATATATATATATATATATATTTATTTATTTATTTAATGGCCACATTATATTTCGCTATGTGAATGAATGGACAGTAATTTAACCCTAATGCTTGGATACTTAGGTTATATCCAGTTTTTCACTCTTATAACACTCTGAGCATTTTCATGTATGAAGCCTTTTCTGAGATTTGAATGATTTCCTTGGAATACATTACAGAAATAGAATTACTGAGACTGATTTGGATGTTTTAAAGACATTTGGGATAGGTAAGAACATTGATGTTTCTGGAATGTTGTATGGTAACATTTTTACATAGCCCGAACAGTCATCTGGCTTATGATTGTTAGTTTAAGTTTTATTTTTTTTTTATATGCTTTGTAACTGCTGGTGGTGGTTGACATCTGTAGTTTATCTTTAATTTTTTTAAAGATTTATTTATTTATGCATACAAGAACTAGGGTACAGCCAGAGGTGCTGGGGGCTGGTGAGAGGATTCACCAGAGACAGAGTAGGGAACAGAACAGGCAGACTGACTGAATACACTGCTGAGGGGAGCAGCAGGTGAAACAGGAGAGGTCTGCTGTACCATATGGGTCAAACTCATGCTGCAGAAACTGCGAATAGCTTCATAATGCTGTGCTTAGCCCCTTGACAAGAGAGGCCCCTGTAGATTATCTTTTAATAGTCAGCAATGTATTGTGCACTTTATTTAAGACAAATGCCAATGCTTTTCTTTTTCAGGACCTAGAGGGAGTGGATATCATTCTAGGTGTCTGCTCTAGTGGCCTTCTGGTTTACAAAGATAAGCTGAGAATTAACCGCTTTCCTTGGCCCAAAGTGCTGAAGATTTCTTACAAACGTAGCAGCTTTTTCATCAAGATTCGACCTGGAGAGGTATAAAAGGCACATGTCTTTTTTCCTGATTCAGAGACCAGGCCTAAAACATCTTTTCATTCCTGTTTTCTTTGTCATGTCATTGAAGAGGTCACTCTACTACTAACTACTAATATTTAGGAGCAGATAATTCTGTTCTCTAAATTAGTCTAATGCTGCTTCTCTTTCTTACCACTAATCTTCTGGACATTTCACTTTATTTAAAGAAATATCCCATAACCAAAGTGAAACTTGGATTGGTAAACTTGTTCCTTGTTTACTATAGGTAAAAACTTGATGGGAGGGCCTCCCCGGTGGCGCAGCTGGGTTAAGCGCTGGGTTGTGAAGCTCCCTGCGGCCTCTGCAGCGCCGGTTCGATCCCCAGCTGCTCCCCGGCCACCGGAGGAGGGTCCCACATGGCGCGCAGACCTCTCCTGCCGCCCGCTGCTCCCCTCAGCAGTGTACTTCGGTCCTTCTGCCTGCGCTGCTCCCTGCTCTGGCTCTGGTGAATTCTCTCACCCTCCCGCGCTTCTGACTGTACCCAGTGCATGTATAAACAAATAAACAAACAAACAAATAAATAAATAAATAAAATACGTGCCTCTTTAAAAAAAAAAAAAAAAACTTGATGGGAAAAAAAATTTTTTAATTAAATAGCATGAAATTTTTAAATTGTGGAGTTAATGCATGTTTTGTACCGTGAATTCCTTACCTTGTATAATTAGAATTTTTTTATATGTATAGTTTCAAGTGTTTACTAAGAATATGTTCTAGGGTAAAGGTCTAGATTTTTAAGAGTAGCATTTTCAGCTCTATACCAGATACCTCAGTTGGTGATCAAATTTCAGGATATACTAATGCCAGCAATTTAACTTTTATGTTAAAGAGTTGTTATGCATAGCAGGGGCAAGAAAAGGGTTTCTAGCGCCTACTCTGTTTGCTATTGAGCAAAAGACCCTTCATGACCCTAAAGCTCAGCCACCTTCCATTCAAGAGGGTAATATCTCCTTTGTCATGGTTGATTTGACGATCAAATGAGATGCCCATAAAAGCCCTAAACAGAAAAGCATCAGACTAATATAAGTGGCTTTTTTGTGTATCTATCACCATCTGCTGGTGAGAAATGACTCATTATTAGAGCATGGAAATACTGAATATGTAGCCTTAAACATTTTGAATAAGGATTATCAATGAAGTTTGCTATTATTTATCTGTGTCTAGCATGGAACCATCAGTGTCTTCCTACAAAGAATTCAAATCCCAAGGTCATTCAGATGACAAATATTTATTAAGGACTTTCTTTGTGCCAGACACTGTTCTATGGGCTAGGAATATAACACTTAATACAGTTCATCCTTCAGTGATCTTAGGTTTCAATGTGGGAAGACAAAAAATTAATGCACAAATATCAGTAAATAAATGAGAACATCTGTTTTCTTTAAATGTCAACTATATAATATATACTAAACTACAGAATTCTTAAGAAAGCAATCAGAAGCAACAGTAGGTTTTGGTTTTTTTTTTTTTTAAACTTAGGGCTACTCTTTTTTTTTAAGATTTATTTATTTATTTATACAAGCACTGGGTACAGTCAGAAGCATGGGAGGGTGAAAGAATTCGCCAGAGCCAGAGGGGAGAGCAGAAGGCAGATGGACGAAGTACACTGCTGAGGGGAGCAGCGGGTGGCAGGAGAGGTCTGCACGCCATGTGGGACCCTTGCCAGTGGCTGGGGATCGAACAGGCGCTGCCCAGCAACAGTAGGTTTTCTGAGGAGTGTGGTATTACCACTGCAGTAGGAGATTTAGCATGATGTAGTAGACACTGTGAAGTTCTGCTTCTGCCACTTAGTAGCTGGGAGACTGAGCAGATAACTTCGCTGACCTCAGTTTCTTCATGTGTCAAAACATAAATAATGTTCTATCATCTTCGTGTTCTTGGCAATGGTAGGTACTAGAAGTAAGTGTCAGTTTTCTCTCTCTCTGCTTAAGGCAGAGATGAGGAGGGCAGTGTTTCTAGTAGTTCTAGTTTGATTGGCTTGCTTAATCAAAGGGGCGTGTAGATCAATTAAATCAATTGAAGGGGAAAAAAAGAAAAGATATTTGATAATTCAAGAATCTGGTTTGAATATGGTTTAAACATAGAAATATGTTTAAGACAAAGGTTTTGGCTTCTACTACTAAAAACTACTACATGACAATTATGATTAATTGGAAGAATCATTCAGTGCCCGATTCCCTAATCATTGAGTAGTCTAGAATCTCAAATGCAGATGATGACTAAGGAAGAGCAGTGTCTAGACAATCAGAAGGTGACTTAATTTTTGTTTTGGAAAAATGTATGTACAGTGTATTTGCATGTGTATGTTTTTCTTAACAAAATAAGATGTATAAATAATATAAAATGTATTCCCTGGCTTCCTTGCTTTGGAAAAAGTCACCCTCAGTGAGTAAATTTATTTTGTTGAGTAGGGAAAAACTTAATGATATTTTATGTCTTAGACTATGAATACTCTTTTTATTCCCAATGACCTCTTCTGAAGGACTGTATTTCTCTGGTATTGTATCATTCTGGTCAAATAATATTTCATGTTTCATCTTTATTTCTGTTTTTATAGCAAGAACAGTATGAAAGTACCATTGGATTCAAACTTCCCAGTTATCGAGCAGCTAAGAAATTATGGAAAGTCTGTGTAGAGCACCACACATTTTTCAGGTATTGTGTTAAGTATTTTTCAAGGACAAATTATTTGTGCATATTTCTATTTTGAGCTTTCTATTGAAATTCTCTTCTTTGTTTGGCTGGCATTCTTTTATTTAGTTCAGGTGAGATCATCTTAAGCAAGACACAGTGGATCTAGTCTTCTTCCTCTAGATTGAAACATGTGCTCCACGTGATATGGCAGAAGGAAGAGAGAAGTGAGGAGTAAAGTGAGGACTCTTCCAGGAGCCCTGAGATTGTCAGGGGAGACACTGACTTATCTCCACATGGAATGTCTCAGCACTTAACTACTTTCTGTGGGGAGTTTTATACAAGAAGGTTAAAGATAGAAAGTGCATTGTTACCCTGACTCTGATCAATCTCAGAAAGGGTGCATAGAGAACTATCCTTGAAGCCAATTATATCCTATAATCAGAAGACAAAGAAAGTCTCCACTGCCCTGCTTTTCAAGAGGCTACATCATTAATGCCTGATGTTCATTTACCAAGCATTTTCTGTGTACTTATCCTTTGAGTAGGCACTGTACTAGGCATTGGGAATATACCGCAAGATAGTTTGTGTCCTTGTCCAGATGGTACATGATATCTAGCAGAGACAATAGACCTTAGATGAGTCATTGCTTTTCTTGAAAAGATAGCTAGCTGGTTATTATCAGCGTTTAAGAAGATTTCCATATTATGGGAAATTGCATTCATAGCAACAGTAAAGATAGTAGTATAATGAACTCTGTACTTATCACCCAGCTCCAATAATTATCACCCCAAGGCCAATTTTATTTCACCTATCTTCCCACCCACTCCTTCCCACTACTTCTCTGACTGTTTGAAGCAAATCCTAGACCTAGTCATAAATAAACTTGACTCATTATGAATGGCTCTCAAGAGAGATAGTTATGATATCCTTTCCTTCTACTTGTATCTTCGTATCACACTGAGCTCTATAACACTATGGACAGAAGAAAAGTCAGGAAAAATAATACTTCAATTCTCATTTCAAAATAAACATGAGGGTACATTTTATGCCCAATTAAAGAATCTTAATTATTGCTTATGATTTTTTATACTTTTAACATCCCCTCTTTATAATCAATATCCCAGCCTCCAAATTAGAATTTTTATAAAGGGTAAGAAAAAGAGCAGTTATTTTCAATGTTTAATGTCTGTAGTACAGAATTCAGCTGTGACTAGTATATTTAACAGCAGGATAGCATATATAAATCCATTTTGTCAAAATAAGACATAAGAGTATGTTTCATTATATGAAAGAAATGTTTAAGTATTCGAATGTAAAAAAAAAATGCTTTCTTTTTGATAGCATTTCATGTAGTGATTTATGTATTTATTCAGGAAACATTTATCGAATGCCAAATTCATGCCAGGCACAATGCCAGAAATGAAAACACAAAGATGAATAAGTCATATTTTTTATCCTTTACCCCTAGAGAGTTCACAGTTCATAGGGGAGACCAGCTCATAAATTGTTTCAAATCAATGCAGTAAATACTGTGACAAAAGGGAGCATGGGATACTGTATAGGAAAAGGATGGGGTACCTAACTGAGGAGATAATATACCAAAAATATAAAGTAGGTCACGGGGTATTAATTAAGTTTGGAGTGTATTTGGCAAGATTATCATTTTAATAGAATGGAAAATGAACTCTGAACTTAGACCCTATTTGCCCAATCTCTTAACAACAACCTTAAGCAATTCCCTTTGTGAGGCTCAACTTCCTGTATCTATAAAATGAGACTACATAGAGGGATATAGTAAAAATAGCCCAGTGCTATAAAAGTATTTTGAAACCATTAGGCCCTGTCTACAGATGTAAGGTGATATTAATATAGGCCAAAAGTGAATTATACTTGTTGCTTTGAGAAATGACATAGAATTAATGATTGCTTGGTTGGAGATCCATTTTAGTAACTATAAGGAATCTATGAGAATTTTGAAGCTTTTTTGAATTCTTGATTTTGTTTTTAATCTTATGGTCTCATTACAATAAGATAAAATATATGACTCTTATGTTTTTTTTCCCCCAGGCTGACATCTACAGACACCATTCCTAAAAGCAAATTTCTTGCACTGGGATCCAAGTTTCGATATAGCGGCCGAACTCAGGCTCAGACCAGGCAATACAGTGCTCTGATTGACAGGCCTGCCCCACACTTTGAGCGCACAGCGAGCAAACGGGCATCCCGGAGCCTTGATGGAGGTAGGTGCAGAATACTAGTAATTTCTTGTGATCCTCTCTTTAGAGAAAGATAAAAGAAGTACAATTATGCATTTGAAAATTAAAAGAATCTCAATTATAAAATGAAATGAACCTTATTGATTGTCTAATTCAGTGGAATCATCTTAAGAAAAGAAAACCTGAGTTTCAGAAAGAGTAGTGACTAGATCAGGTTTCCACTACTAGGTAGTGGTTGATTGAACACTACCAGAATTAGAATTTAGAAGCTCTAACACAGAGTAAAAACCTAATGTAGTATATTAGACTATAGCCTTATCAAACATTTTTAAATGGGTACTTTTTCAGCAGAAAAGAGACGTTAGTAGCCTCACCAGAGCAATGATTTAAAAGTTTAGATCATTTTGTCATGTGGAAATTACAGGCAGAAAGAGGAATACTATTATTGGAATCTTCAAATTTTGTTTAAATAAAATAGGAAGTAAATAAGTTTCATGAGTGCATATACTGACAGAAAACCTTTCTGAATTTTTCTAAGGTAAGTCTCAAGGATTTGAAAGTATTGCTGAAATGAAGTACCAAACTATATTCAGTTCTTTATGCCACTAAAAAGAAAAGGTAACTAATAAATAAAAGTTCTGAAGGCAACTGCCAAAATAGAGTACTGTCAGTTACTTTTTTGAAGGACTTGCCAGTACATTGCTTCTATGCAATCTGTGAAAGCAGGGGGCATGTTACAGAAGTTAGGGGCTTGGATTCTGGATTCAGACCTGGTTCCAATCTCAACCCCTGCATTTAGGATCTTACCTTCTTGGTCAAATTACTTAATCTCTCTGTGCCTTTTTCTCATTTATAAAACAGGGGTAATAATAATGCAATACTACCCTAAAAGAGTGTTTTTTTTTTTTAATAGAGGCATGTTTTATTTATTTATTTGTTTGTTTGCTTGTTCGTTTATACATGCACTGGGTACAGTCAGAAGCGCGGGAGGGTGAGGGAATTCACCAGAGCCAGAGCAGGGAGCAGAGCAGGCAGAAGGACCGAAGTACACTGCTGAGGGGAGCAGCGGGCGGCAGGAGAGGTCTGCGCGCCATGTGGGACCCTCCTCTGGTGGCCGGGGAGCAGCCGGGGATCGAACTGGCGCCGCAGAGACCGCGGGCAGCTTCGCAACCCAGCGCTCAACCGCTGCGCCACCAGGGAGGCCCCCTAAAAGAGTTTTAATGAAGAATAAATGAGATGGTGTATGTGTATGGTACTTAGCACAATGGTTGACATTTAATAAGTCAAAAATACTACCATCATTAAGATAGTGTTAATATTCTAGACACCGCATTGTTATTTAATTATTTTGTATCATCCAGAACCATATTTTGGTTTGTTGCATTATGGGAATGTATGTCAGAAACACCTCACTCAGTTTAAAGGAATGAGGAACAAGGAAGCCATTCTTGGAAAAGAGATTTCCCAAGCAATTTTGTTCTTCCATACTGCAAGTCAGGCTGTTTTCTTTCAGGTGTTTTTCTGTTGCCTTGACTGCAAAGGTACTGTTTTAATAGTAATAAGACAGATTGCAGGTTTTGTTTTATTTGGTCTCTATCACAAACCTAGGAATTAGACTGAGAGATTAACTTTTCCTAAAATGTGATAGCTGCTAAGTGGGTTGGTATGCAGGTTGGGTGAGCTTCAAAACCCATGTTCTTTGAGACACTTATTTATTCTTTTTTCACCAAGGTATTTTTATACATACTATGTGTTAGGTATTGTTCCACTCACAGAATATACAGCTGTGAGCTTACCGGCATAGTCTCTGACCTCATGGGGCTTATATTCGATGTGTCGAAACAAAACAAAACCATTTCAGGTAGCGATAAGTGTTATGAAGAAAACAAAGCAATAATGGGATAGAGTGTCTGGGCTTGGGGGGCGTGGTTTGGGGAGCTGTTTGAGATTGAGGAATCTAAGTATAGAATGTTCTTCTGAGGAGTCCATTAGAACAGACACCTGAATTATGAGAAGGTTAGATACTCACAAAATCTTGGAGGAGAAAATTCTGAAAGAGAAGTAACTATTATAAAATCCTGGAGGTGGGAATGAGCTTGACATGAGACTTCATGTCAATTAGTGCTGTCTATAAAGCTGTCTGTGCTGATGGGAATCTATTTTGTGACGTCCAGTTTGGGAACCAGTAGCCGCAGGTGAATTTGAAATGTGATGGTGTAACTGAGGGCTGACTGTTAATTTTTTTTTTTAATATTTTTTATTTATTTGCTTATATTTATATAAGCACTGAGTACAGTCAGAAGCGCGGGAGGGTGAGAGAACTCACCAGAGCCAGAGCGGGGAGCAGAGCAGGCAGAAGGACCAAAGTACACTGCTGAGGGGAGCAGCGGGCCGCAGGAGAGGTCTGCACGCCATGTGGGACCCTCCTGCGGTGGCTGGGGAGCAGCCGGGTATCGAACCTGTGCTGCAGAGGCTGCGGGCAGCTTCGCAACCCAGCGCTCAACCGCTGCGCCACCAGGGAGGCCCGCTGACTGTTAATTTAATAGCCACATGTGGCTATTCAGCATAGTTCTAGCTCCTAGTAAATGAAGAGAAGTAAAAAATAAGTTAAGTTAGAGAAATGGACAGGGGCCAGATAGTGCAGGGCCTTGGAGGCCATAGTATAGAAGTTAGATTTTTTTTTTTTAAATTGCAGTTGAAAGATATTAGAGGGAGGGATATGATCTAATTTCCATTTTTAGAAGATCACTCTGATTGAGGTGGGAGGAAAGCAGAAGCGTAGTTAACTGTCGCAAGATATAGGTGAGAAATGGTGACAACTTGGACTTGAGAATTAGCAGTGAAGGCAGCAAAATTTGCTCAGGGATATTCCTGAGCTCCTTGTCCAGTAGGTTACTGTACTTCCAGTTCACCTTAGGCTTGGGGAACCTGTTGTTTTTATTAATTTATACAAGTATGTCAGTGAGGAAAATTGAGGTTGAAAAATTTAAGCAACTTTTGCATGATCCCGCATATATTAAGTTGCAAAACTAGGACTAATCTCAGGTCTGCTGACTGAGACAGGGGACATGAGACAGACCATGTCCCCTGACTTTTCCGTAAGTGGAATTTCATAGTTACATAAATACTGTGCTGATGTATTCTTTCTTTCTAATAGCAAAATAACCAAAAAGTCAACTGTTAATGAGCTTTGGTGCCTTGAACAAATTAGAAAGCATTACTTACAGAAATATTATTACTTATAGAAATTATATCTTCATTGTTGTCATTTTTCTAGCTGGGGCCTCATAGTTGAAGATATTAAAAAATCTTCATGTCTCTGCCTCTTGACTAATATTGGCTAGTTCTTACTAAATTATATACTGTGTTCCTTGGGGGAATGGGAGATATTTCCAAAAACTTGCCTTCAGAATGCTGTACGAATGCTTGAGATTCTAAAACTAAAGTCAGTCAGATGACTCTAAAGGAAGCCAGATTATTGGTGACTTTACCATAGCATCACAGAGTTTTGGGGCTTGGGAAAAGATGAAATCATTTATTCCAGTCACCTAATTTTATAGAAGTGGAGTTGATCCAAAAAAAAAAAAAAAAAGTAATTTGTCCAAAGTTAACATAGTTCAGCAGCACAAACTTAGGACAGAATCTACATTGCCTGGTAGCTAGAATAATCCTCTCTTTCCTTGCTGTATTCTTTGTTGTCTCCTTCCTATCTACATATTTTGAGAATTTTTTTGAAAGATGTATCATCTTAACTGGTCCTTACAATTACCACAGTACTTGTTATATTATAAGCACTTTGGTAAATGTTGAAAATAACATGATTGCTTCTCCTGTTTAGTTGAATGTGTGCAGAATTTTATGTTCCAAATTCCTATGTGATATTTTCTAAATGTGAATCTTTTGTCAGCTATATACTCGTATAGATACTATATATACATACATATATATGTCTATTCTCTGTGTCTTGCTTTTTCGTTCTTTTAATGGTATCATTGGATGAACAGAACCTCTACATCTTAATGTAATCTAGTTGATCAAATTTTTACTTTTTTGCAAAGAATTTATGAGTTCAATTTAAGAAATCTTTGCCTACTCATGATCATGAGGTGTTTTCTGAAACCCTTGTTATTTATATTTCATATTTAGATTAATAATCCATCTGGGATTATTTTTGCATGTAAAATGAAATAGAAGTCAAAATTAATTTGGTTTTTTTTTTTTTTTTTGGGCCTCCCCGGTGGCGCAGCGGTTGAGCGCTGGGTTGCGAAGCTGCCCGCAGCCTCTGCAGTGCCGGTTCGATCCCCGGCTGCTCCCTGGCCACCGGAGGAGGGTCCCACACGGCGCGCAGACCTCTCCTGCCGCCCTCTGCTCCCCTCAGCAGTGTGCTTCAGTCTGCCTGCTCTGCCCCCCACTCTGGCTCTGGTGAATTCTCTCACCCTCCTGCGCTTCTAACTGTACCCAGTGCTTGTATAAATAAATAAAAATGAATCTTAAAAAAAAAATTAAAAAAAAACATTAATTTGTTTTTCATGTGGATATTCCATTGACTCTGTACACTGTATTAAAGATATCATGGGCCTCCCCGGTGGCGCAGCGGTTGAGCACTGGGTTGCGAACCTGCCCGCAGCCTCTGCGGCACCGGTTCGATCCCCGGCTGCTCCCCGGCCACCAGAGGAGGGTCCCACATGGCGCGCAGACCTCTCCTGCGGCCCGCTGCTCCCCTCAGCAGTGTACTTCGGTCCTTCTGCCTGCTCTGCTCCCTGCTCTGGCTCTGGTGAATTCTCTCACCCTCCCGTGCTTCTGACTGTACCCAGTGCATGTATAAACAAAACAAGCAAATAAATAAATAAATAAACAAACAAACATGCCTCTATTAAAAAAAAAAAAAAATAAAGATATCATTCTTTCCCCATTGTATTCCAGTATCACCTTTGTTATAAATCAAGTAACCATAAATTTTGGGAGTTTATTCCTGATCTAATCTGTTCTATTGGTCTCTGCCTATACCACACTGTCTTAATTAT